CTAATGTTAATACGATTTCCTATTCTTTGAATTTCAGTATGGGGCAAATCAGAGAAAATCCATGTCAAGCAATTGTTCATGTATGAAAAGATTGAAAATAAAATCACATATAAAATTTGTGACAACAGATATGGCTGGAGGCATCTGAAGCATCACCATATGGATGAGGACAATGTAGTTCAAAGAAAGATGAGAAAGAAGACTGAAGAAAATGTCAGAAGTGTTCTGAATAAGCAACAAAAAATATTACATAAGTTTGCCATTCCAGAATGCCTTAAGGTGAAGTTAGATAAGCAAATCATTGTTGCTGCACGTGTTGAATTACTGATAATAGTTGTTCAGTTCTTCATTTCAGTTGATTGAATACTCAGGATTCTGTGAAATTTTAACCTGATTATTGCTTCAGTTGGTCAAATTGTTTCAACCAACTCAGAGAATACTAATCTCACTTGTCCTTAAAACTTGGCTCAAAAAATAGCAGTAATCAGAAAAATGAACATTCTCTTTCAAAGTGGATATTGCCAGTAGATTGATTCAGTTAATTCTAGGAATTAATGCTCATCTCCCACAAGACAGTAAGATGCATCAGTTGACAGTTGACACTGGGAACAAAAGAATTAAGAGTATAGGTATCACTAAAAAAAAGAAAAAAAAGGTGTGTCAAATTTTAGAGAAGTATAACATTGATTTACAACAGAAGTTGTCAAAGATTTCGTTTTACTTGGATCCACAGTCAATGCTCATGGAAGCAGCAGGCAAGAAATAAAATGATGTATTGCTTTGGGCAAAGCTGCTGCAAAAGACCTCTGTAAAGGGTTAAAAAGCAAAGACGTCACTTTGAGGACTAAACTGTGCCTGACCCAAGCCATGGTATTTTCAAGCACCTCATATGCATGTGTGAAAGCTGGACAATGAATAAGAAAGATCAAAAAAGAATTGATGTCTTTGAATTATGGTGTTGGTGAAGAATACTGAATACACCATGGACTGCCAGAAGAATGAACAAATCTGTCTTGGAAAAAGCACAGGCAGAACACACTTTAGAAGCAAGAACGGTGAGACTTCATCTCATTTACTTTGGACAAATTATCAAGAGGGACGGATCCTTGAAAAAGGACATCATGCTTGATAAAGCAGAGGCTCAGCAAGATCCTTAACGAGATGGATTGACACAGTGGTTCAAGAGTGCGTTCAAACACAGCAATGACTGGGTGGATGCCACAGTACCAAGCAGTGTTTCATTCTGTTTACATGGGGTTGCTATGAGTCAGAACCTACTCAACAGCCCTGACAACAACGTTAGTTAATAGTGAAATTTCACCTACACAAAAATTAAGTTTGTTTTCAATGTACTTTAAAGTAATTTGACAATTTCCCACTAAAAAAGGATTTTGAATCTTTAATTTAATATTCATATGTATGTCAGGAGTGTTTTTATCACACTACTACTTTTAGTGTGATTCAGCACTGCTGTCAATTCTCACAGGATTAAAAAAATAATATATTTTACACTGTGTTTTTCCTTATATTGAAATGTTTGAGACAGTGATTAAAACTGAACATCACTGTCACCTTAAATTTAATTATTAATGAATGCATTAAAAGTTGTAGTCTAATATTGCTACTTTCCAAACTATTTACAAAATCTTGGGATGAACAAAATTTGAGTCAATATAAAGTGGAATATTATTTGCAATATAAAAAAATGAAATACACAGCCATATTTCTTCAGATGAAATTGCTCCAGGTTATCCATTTGCAGAATACTAATTTGAGATCGGAGAGTAAAACAGTTTCCAACTGGTTGAAACCTGTTCAGCCATGGTCAATGAAGCAAAACTGGAACAGAACTGAATATTTTAAATTTTACAGAACTGGAACGATACCAGGAATGGAAAAAATACAGTTCGAAGTCTTGCCCCTTATTAATGAATTTATCTCACTTTTCAAGCTTCCACTGTATTTCCATGTTCTACTGGTCAAGTCCTCTGATTAGAATTTCCAAAAATGAAACACTTTGGAAACAAAGAGTTTCTCTTCCTGCATCTGTCACCCTTAAAAGATATGGTGATCCAAGGTTTATCACTGAACAATAGGATAAAAAAATTCACTGCCCTGAGTCAGATCCGACCCATGGAGACCCCCCTTGGGTTTGTGAGGCAGTATCACTGCAGAAGTAGACTGCCCAACCTTCTTTCCAAGCAGTGGCTTGTAGGATACAGTGAGGACCAATAGCATAAGTGAGGACCAAAAACTTTGCAATGAAATGGTGGACATTTTTGTCTGAAAAAATAAAAAAATAATTCACTCATTTTCACAAGTTCTCTTTTAAATTTTTCCTTTAGATTCCCAATACATTATGTGTATAATCAAATTATGCACATGAATATCAATCAATGTCAGCAGCTCTGTATTCTGTAAGGAATTGAGCTTATAAAATTAACCACTTTGAGAATTTTCTAAAAATAACATCACAACCATTTGTAAATATTAACCTTAAAAATGTGCTTGAGAATGACCACCCCAACTATTACTTGAGTGAAATCTTCTTCAAAGAATAGATCACAAAGAATTCTACCAACTCTTTCCTCAGGAGTTCTATAAATTTAAAGGGAAGAGACATATAGGATATCTATTTTACAGATAAAATTTAAGATATTAGTCTGTAGACTTATAGGCCAAAAGCTCATATGCAGAATGTCTCAAGAAATCCAGTGGACAGTATCAGAATGCTGCATGAAGCTCACTGACATAGCCCTCTAAGTTGAACACAGTAATAACTCAATGTCACAGAGAGGAGAAATCAAGTGTTAAAGTCTAGAATAATTTCCTTACTGTGGCAAAAAACAAACAAAACTTACAACTAAACTTGGTCCAGATAATTCTCAAATCCTCACACACATAAAACAATTTCTATCTATTTTCAAGAGAAAGACCATGTCCATTCTGTTCTCCTTTGTCTTCAAGAACTACTTTAACTGTTAAAATTATACACATTTTTATAAATTAATTTTTTATACATATAAACAATAAATATCATCTAGTGCTCCAACTTTTTATTGCCTATATATTTTTTTGCATTACAACGGCAGCATTTTTTTTTTTTTTTAAATTTTATTGTGATTTGGGTGAAAGTTTACAGAGCAAATTCACTTCCCACACAGCAGTTCATACACATTTTGTCGCTTGACATTGACTACAATTTCCCACAATGTAACAGCTCTCTTCCCAGTTCCTCCCCATAGTTACCTCTTCCCTGTGTCCTTTCCTCCCATGCACTCCTGCCCCCCCCCCAGCTGTCTCCCTGTGCATACACTGCCCTTCTATTTTCCCATGATTGATCTCTCCAAGGAGCGTAGCTACGTAAGGTAAATGTTCACCTCATACGTGTCTTTTGTCTGGTTGGAAGCCACAGGAGTGGGTTCAATTCCAGACCTGAAGGGCAGCTAGAGGCCATATTCTCAAGGGTTTTACCAGGCTTTCTCAGACCAACAAACATGATCCTTTTTTTTTATTTTTTTTTATGATTTTGAGTTTTGTTCCACATTGTACTCCCACTCTACCCAGAATCTCATACATAGATTCCCCTCCAAGTGGTTGACAGTGGTATCTGGGCACCATCTAGTTCTTCTGGTCTCATAGTCATATAAGCTGAGGATCACAGGTGTACCAGTCCCTTGGACTAATTGTTTCCATGTGTCTTTGGTTTTCTTCATTTTTCTTTGCTCTGGATGAGGTTGAGAACCATTGTTGCATCTAGATGGCCACTTGCAAGCTTTTAAGATCCCAGTGGTTATTTATCAAAGTAGGATGTGGAACAATGTTTTTGTGGCAGCACTCTTAAGGTATAGTTAGATATTCTACTTCAACAAGAACCATTTTAACTCCCAAAGGATGCATTAGGTAGGAATGTTTTTGATAACAAGTTATAAAACTTCAATTCAAATTGACTTGGAAAAGGGGACTTTATCAGAATAATTCCAGAGTACTCAGGTAACCAAACAACAAGGCCTGGAGTTTCACACTGCTAGACCCCAGGGGCAAGAAAAAGCAGCACTCTCCCTCCCCTTCTGTTTCCACCTCCTTCATTAGACTTGCACCTTCTCCTGTGGGGGCTACCTGGAGCTTCTAGTCCCCCCATACACACCTACCCATAGCTTCTACATGTAGGGAATATGATCTCTTCCCTTAGCCTAGTTAAAAGATCCTAAGAAAAAACTGACCACCCAGCATGCCTTGATTTGCATGACTACATCCAGGGAGGCGGGGACCACCTGATTGGTTGCTGTCCAGCCCATCCAAGCCTTACAGAGTAGAGCTGAGCTCCACAGGGTTTTCTGGGCTGTGAACTATATGGAAGCCAATCACCAGGCTTTCTCCCAAAGTGCAGCTGGGTGGGTTCAAATCCCCAACTATTCAGTTAGTTGTTGTTGTTGTTGTTATGTGCTGTCGAGTCTGACTCGACTCACAGCGAGTCCTCCTTGGGTTTCCGAGGCAGTATCACTATGGAAGTAGATTGCTCCATCTTCCTTCCGAGGTCCAGTGCAAACCACTGGCATCGCCTGGCTAGAATCCAGGTAGAAGGAATTTTCCAAAAAAGGAACAATATTAGACAGATACTGAACAGACAAAAAAAAAAAAAAAAACTCGCTAAACCAGCACAGATTCAGAAAGTTTTAGTAATGGCAGAAAGAGTAATCGCAGAAAGTTAAACTGACACATGATGGAAGTTTGGAAACTGGCATTAAGGCATTTCTTGATACGTTTTTGTTACATCCATTTCCCAGCCAAAACAATGAATAAATTTAAAACTTGATTACACACCATTTTCCCTCCTTCCCTGACTTAGATATTTTCTGTCACTTCCCCACGCCATCTGAGTTTTCAGTCTCCAAATTGTCCCTAAAAGCTTAGGCAAGGCATACATAGCGGTTACCATCAGAATTGTTTAGGAGTTGTCTGTGTTATTCTTAGGGCTCAGATCTTCAACAAGCATTTTGTCATTCTTGGTTCATAGCATTATCTTCCAGGTCTCGAGAATCGGATGCAATCTCCAGCTCATAATCCTTTTTCAATTGCTGCATTTTCATGTTTAAATCCAGTAAGGTTCTGGTCAGCTGGCGGTTCTGGAAATGCATTTCCAGCTAGAAGTTAAGGGGAAAAAAAAAAGAATTTTGATTAGCCTCAAATAGAGATTCAATGAAACCTACACAAAAAAAATAAGAAATTTGTAAGAAAGGAAAATAAGATATCAAGAAAGATGTATTTCTCATCTTCTTCTCCAGTCTGGCCCATTTGGCCTGGCTATAAAATTGATTCTCCAGATGACAAGGTAAAATCTGGATGCGCAGATAGCTTCTGAAATGGCCTTGAAAGGATAACAGAAATAGCTGTTGCACGATGCTGTCCGCATGAACGATACCTATGCACGTTCGGCAGGCTGTTTGCAAGCAATGGCATGTGATCTGCAATGAAGTCATTTATCTTTATGAGCATTCCGTGCTACCGGATAACCACCCAAGGCCACCTGAGTATTCAGGACCTGGGCCCATTGACTTGATTACTCGTCATTTCAAGTTTTCAGGATTTAAAATGGTTTCCCTGCCAAGTAAAAACATTTAACGACACCTCAGAGGCACATGTACAGTTACGTGTATTTATATAATCTAACACTTTTCACTCTAGAGTGAAATCTGTTATACAGCAAGCCTGATTGATACCCTCCTCCAGCAGGGGTTCATGAAAGGCCTCATGTGTGCAAAAATAGATGCCTACGGCGGTTTATCTAAGAAGCAGTCCGGCAAAGGTCAGTCCAGCACAACCTGTGCAGTGCAGCTGCAAACATATGATCAACCATTGGCACACTTCTTAAATTAGAGCCTTGTTTGGTGCAGTTCCTGAGGCTCCAGCTCGACTTAAAACCCGTCATCAACTTGCCAGCAGAAATCACTCCAGGCTGTACCCAGGAGCTCTACTGGCAAAAATCAAACCCAGAGGGGCTCTCCCAATTCACAACATAAAATCATTGGATGAAATTATCTTCAGTTTTCCTCTAGGACACTTGTCTTCATTCTTCAGCACCTGGTACCATGTCCCTGATAGCCACTATTAGCAAAGAAAAAACTAAATGAACATCCAGTAAACAAACAGTAATAGCAACACAACCACCACAAACCACCACACAAAGTCTCTCTGCACCTGTATTGTGCTTACAGGAAGCTTCAGTTCTCTCTTGTGGCACAAGATGCTCTATAATCCTGCCCTACTTTTCCAGTTTCATTTCCTGGCACTCTCACCACATAAGCCTCAACTGCAGCTGGTCTGAAACCTTGTCCCTGAATAAACACCATGCTGAACTATCCCTCCTTCTGCCCTCTCCTTAGGATACCCTTTGCCACCTCTGTTCCTACTAAATTATCTAACTTTCAAGAACCCAACCAATTATCACCTCCTCTCAGAAGCCCTCCCTGATTGCCCAAAAAAACTCAAACCAAACTCACTGCCATCAACTCGGATCTGACTCATAGCAACCCCTCCTTGGCTTTCCAAGGCAGTATCACTACAGAAGTTGATTGCCCAATCTTCCTTCTGAGGAGTGGCTGGTGGGTTTGAACCACCAGCCTTCCGATTATCAGTCAAATGCCTTAGGCACTGTGCCACCAGAGCTCTCTTTATCTGTGTTTCCACAGTGTTCTGTATATGTGCTTCTCCTAACACACAGACTAGATTGAACTGATGATTTTGAGGGCAGAGTTTGCTTCTTATTCATAATTGTATCCCCAACTATAAGTGCTCTGCCTGGGCACACAACATTGTGAGTTTTCTGTGTGTATGTTGAAAAACTGAGTGAATGAATGACTATATGATGGAATTGTTGAATACCCATCCTGTACTTTAATGCCAAGGAATCACAGGGAGAAAGTATTGATAGTGGTTCACCAGTTCCACAAAGTAAAAATGTCACACTTATTTAGCAAATTCAAACACTCGTGGTTTTTCAACTTTTGACTGTGGATCCTTTTGAGAATCTGATTAAAGCTATGAACGTCTCCAAAAAGTAAAATAAAATAAACATGTCATGCACATACAAAATTATGCATAATCCCTGAAATCCACTTAATAGACTTTAGAAACAATGCATCCCATTAGGATTAACTGAAACAATAAATAATTAGCAACACAATCCTAAATTAATTGAACTTATTCATCATTGCTCCTTACACAATTATCACCCTAATATCTAATGTTGTTGTTGTTATGTGCCATCAAGTCGGACCCGACTCATAGCGACCCCTCCTTGGGTTTCCGAGGCAGTATCATTGCAGAAGTAGATTGCCCAACCTTCCTTCCGAGGAGTGGCTGGTGGGTTTGAACCACCAGCCTTCTGGTTAGCAGTCAAGTGCCTTAGGCACTATGCTACCAGAGCTCCCCTAATATCTAATACATGTATATATTTGCACAGATGTGTATTGATTCCTACAGAAATCCAGTTAATGTACCATTATCTGAAACTACTTCTAACAGGGATGATGTTACGCTGAAGCATCCATACTTTTTTCTCTTCCTCATGACCAGTGACAGACAATAGAAAAATAGTTGACCAAAATATTGACCACGGTCTCCAGCCCAGGAACACAGCATCTGTGTATGTGCAAAATTCTTTGATTCTTTCCAGGATAAATCCTTGTCCTTGAGTGCAAATGACTTAGACGATTTTTATACATATGTGTTGTTCGTATTTTGTACAATCTGTCTCCAAGATTATAAGAATTAAGCACTCAGCTGGTAACCTAAATGTGAGGTGTTGGAACCACTAGCTGCTCTGAGAGAGAAAAAACCTGGCAATTCACTCCCCTAAAGACTGTTTTTGTTGTTAGGTGCTGTCCAGGAGGTTTCACCCACAATAACCACATGTCCAACAGAACGAAACCCCGCCCGCTCCTGCGTCATCCTCACAGTCATTGCTATGCTCCAGCCCATTCTGCAGCCATGTCAATCCATCTCGTCAAGGGTCTTCCTCTTTTTCACTGACCCTCTACTTTACCAAGCACGATGTCCTTCTCCAGGGACAGTCCCTCCTCACAAGTCCAAAGTGCGAGAGGCAAAGGCTTGCCGTCCTCTCTTCCAAAGAGCATTCCAGCTGTATTTCCTCCCAGACAGATCTGTTCTCACCGGCCATGGTACAGTCAAGATTCTTCCCCAACACAATGCAAAGGCATCAATTCTTCTTTGGCCTTCCTTATTCATTGTCCAGCTTTCACGCACATATGAGGCTAATGAAAAGACATGGCTTTTCTGTTATCTGTAAAGATTACAGTCTAGGGGGCAACCCTCTGTCATACAGGGTCGCTAAGAGTCAGAACTGACTTCACAGCACACAACACTGTAAGAGCTGCTATATAAATAGCATCCATACTGCAGGCACTTTATATAACCTTATCGTATATCCTTACAGTAATCCTGTGAGCTGCCGTCTCCATTTTACAGATGACAAAGCTGACACTCACACTTGCTAACATTCTCAAAGCCATCACTATGTGTTAAAATGTTAACATTATGATTTGAACCTTCATCTGTTTGGAGTTTTACTCCCCACCTCCCTCCCACCCCATCCCGAATACATAACTTGCTTTAAATCCTGCTCATGGAACAGCTTGTTCGAAAGTTAAGGTTAGAGGGTGCCTCAGAGTTCATTCAATAAAATATCTTCATTTGATTTAAGTATGAGTCAGCTGAAGGGAGAAAGGGGTCAGCCACACACAGGTGGGTCTCAGCCTTCCAGTTTGGCTTCCTGGCTCACAGCACAATCTCCTGTAACTACTAACAGGTGTCTCAGCTAGTCAGCTGCTCAGTGCGAAAATCAGCTGTTGTTTCAATATGATTGGATCAAGGATAGCACAACCCTTTGGTGGCACACTGGTTAAAGCACTCAGCTACTAACCAAAAGGTTGGTGGTTAGAACCCGCCAGTCAAATGGGAGAAAGATAAGGCAGTCAGCTTCCATAAAGATTCACAGCCTTGGAAACCCTGTGGGGTAGTTCTACTCTGTCTTGACTCCTGGCAGTGGGTTTGGTTTTGGGTTCTATTCATATAAAGAACGTTAAGAGAGATAAAATTAGCTTTATTATCTTACTAACCTTCCTAAACTCAGAAATGAGAGGTATTCTGTTAAGATTTTTAAGTCAGAAAATTTACTGATAGATGAATCAGTTCCAAAGCAGCGGTTAGTATTTTACTTGTAATCAATACAAATGAGTAGAATCCTCCAAGCCAAGTCTCCACTACACGCACTCGCAGGCTACACCATTTTAAAGTTTGAATTGTTCTACTCATTTTGTCATTTCCAAGTTTTGTCTAATTTGGTTTATCTATTTACCGACACTCATACCTATTTAATATTTGGGTCGATCCTGTATAAGGTTCAAAAGCTACAATTTTGCAAAGTAACCTTTTATTTCCAGCTGAATTCTTATTAGAAAGAAAGATAAAACTTGAGGGATATAAAGATCTACATATGGAATATACACTCCACCAATCCCAAGATACCACTGATTTCATTCAAACGTCCTCCTCTACGCGCCAAACACACACGAACGAGAGTTCTCTATAGTGTAGGAAAAGTATAGAAACGCGTTGGAGAGGTGGTACTAGGGTCTTGGGCGTGTCACACGTAGACTGCCAGGCCCCGACGGGTGCCAGCGCCCTGCCGTGGGTCCTGCAGGGCCCCTTCCTTGCCAGATGCTGCTGGAGGAGGCCGGGCGACCAACACGGTGTTGGAGTAGAGCTGGCGTCCCAGGAAGATCAAGGCCAGTGCGCAGCTCTCCCTCCCTGCACGCCCTCACCGCCCCCCCACCCACTTCTTGGGAACAGCCTCTCCAAGTCCTCAGGGCAAGCTGAGTCCCCGCGTCCGCCAGCCGAGGACCACCGTGCAGCGCCCCCGAGCCGGCCGCCCAGCCCGTGCGCTCACCAGCTCGGCGCGCAGCCCCTCGAGGGCGCTCTCGACGCGCGCCTGCCCATGCTCCTCGCGCGCGGCCGCCGCCTCGGCCTCCTCCGGCGCCCGTCTCGAGCCCGCGCGCGGCACCGCCCGATGAAAGGCGCGCACCAGCCGCTGCCTGAGGTCTTCCAGCAGCCGGCTGGGGGCGGGGGCCTCGTCCTGGGCGTCGGTGCTCATGGCGCCCCTGGGTTAGCCTTGGGCGCGACGCAGCGTTGGAGCCAAAGGCCAGCTCGGCCTGGGAGCTCGAGGCGTTCCTGGGAAACTCCTCTTCTCTGCGGCCGGAGTCCCCTTCGTGCCTCGCAGATGCCCAGTCAGTCCTCCCGCAAGCTCCCACGCGATTTGTTTCCGAGTTTCGGGAGTAGGGTGAATCAGGGCAGGGTAAACTAAGGGAGTCCGCCAGACCTGCCGCTGGGATTCGACCCTTGCTTCGCCATTCAGAAGTGGTCCATTTCGCCCAGCCCCATTGCCATCCCACTCCTCCGCATTAGCAGAGAAGCAAAGAAAAAGGTGGTTCCCAGAACTCGAGTCAGAAGTTTCAACTAAGTAACTTTTTCTTGCTCCACGGAATGAAAGGGAGGAGCTGGCCAGGAAGTAGGCTTGAAGACTGAGCTGTTCACTGAGGCACACATGGAAGGAATGTGACTAAAGGTAGACGTTTTTTGTCACAGAGGCTTCCCAGTTTCTTTGATTATTTATTTGCTTATTTGTGCCAGGCACTGTGCCAGGTGTTGCGATGGAAAGGCCCCCCATTACCTGTCCACAGCTGTTGTCCACAGTCAGGGCTCAGAAGCTGGCCTTGTTTGAGTGTTGGAAATAATAGTCTTTTTCACATGTCTAACGATGGCAGCATAGACCCAGGACACTGAACCTCAGTGCTCCTTCTGTACTTGACTCTATTCAAACACCGTCACATTTTAGAAGAGGGGTTAAAATTAAAAAAGAAATCAGGCTTACCCCAAAGTGTTTCATTTTAAAATGTCTAATTCAGTGTTACCATATGCCAATGTTAGTCATATATCCTTTGTCAGTTTACATCATCAGCTGCCTTTCTTAGATCTAATTAAGATTTACTAAAAAAAAAAAAAAAAAAGTTCAAAAATTTTGTGTGACCATAAAATGAAACAAAGAAAAAAGAAGAAGAAGAAAGTAATACTGACAGAACGTTTGGTCTCTGTTCTCCTGGAGCAACCGAGAAAGGTGCAGAGGAATGAGTCAAGGCAATGGTCTGCAGGTCTAATTGATCCATGAACTGCAACCTCCCTTGTCATGAGACCAGAAGAAATGGATGGTGCCTGGCGACCATTACTGAACATTTGGATAAGGGACCTGATGGGTGCATCTTCATCAAAAGGAGGAATATTGTAGAATGGAAAGTCAAATTCTTATTGGAAACCAGACTTATTGAAGATACCGAGATTGGTGGGACCCTCCCCCAAATCTTTTGCCTGGGAACTTTTAAACTTTGACCTGGAAGTATACCATGAAGTCATCTTTAAACAACAGTTTAGTTCAATAAATAATGATTGCCTTGAGTGTTGCACCCTTTCAAAGAATTACTTATATGAGATCAAAATGACAACAATAACTGTAAAGCACAGACGAGAACTGTAAGGGGCGGGGAGTCTAAGTTAACAGTAGTGAAATGTTATGGGCAGAGATGGTGAAAATGGGGACATGAGGTAAAGGATGACACCACTGTCAATGAACTGCACGTGTAAAAATTGTTCAACAGGTATATGGTTTTTTGTGTATATTTTCACCAAAAATTGAAAAAAAAAAAAAAACAACAGTGACAGAGATGCTCACAAAATACTCTTCTCTTAGAATTATCCATCCATTCAGTAAAGATACACAAGTCACCATCAGTGTTCCAGGGTCCATGGCAGCTATTGTGGCAGCAAGAGCTAATTTTTATGAATGTTTATTATGTGCCAGACACTTTTCATACATTAACCCATTTAATCCTCACAACAATACTCTAAGTACGTAGTATTAGTTTCTGTACTTCATAGACGAATCAACTACAGCAACCAGAGGTGAAGCACAATGCCAGAGTTTAGAGCTGATACCTCAGAAGGAAGATGGAGCGATCTACTTCCGTAGTGATACTGCCTCAGAAACCCAAGGAGGGGTCGCTATGAGTCGGGGCTGACTCGACGGCACATAATAACAACAACAACAGTGGGAGCTTGGGGATTTGCATCAAGGCACTTTGGTTGTGTTCCAAACCATTGCAATACAACCTGGATATACCTGCCTCCCAAAGAGGATAAGTGTTGCTCAGTTTGCATCTCAAGTGAGGGAGAGAGTGGATAACTGTTCCCTACACTCATAAATGGTCAGCTCTGCTGAAGAGGTTAGAGACTTGAGTGATACAGAGGATACCGGTTACAAGGGCCCTGCCTATAATCTGTCAAATTCAGCACCTACTAATAGTTTCATGCCTAAGAACAGTAAAACACCTATCCTTGTATGTTGAGTAAGGCACATCTTTGCTCTCTAGATAGTCACAACTTATGAGAACAAAGTCCTCATTCATCCAGCGTAATCTATTTTATGTCTCATCATGTACCAAACACTGCAAGGTGCTCAGGCTACACAGTCAAACAGACAATACAGCATTTTAGAATAGATGGGCTTTACAATAAATTAATAGTTTTCTTCCATAGACTGATTTTTCAAATGTGTTGTTGTTGTTGTTGTTGTTGTTGTGTGCCGTCGAGTCAGCCCTGACTCATGTAGTGTACCTTAAAATTTTAAATATTTTTTCTTTTACACAGGTAAAATGGATTGAAGACTTGGGGAGTCAGAGTGACTATAATAGACATTGGAGTTAGAACATGCATTAGTTACCCATTACTGCATTAAAAAATTACCTCAAAACTTTGTGGTTTAAAACAATGAACACTTACTATCTCGTGCACTTTCTATAGGAGCTCTGGTGGCATAGCGCCTCAGGCATCTGACTGCTAACCGGAAGGCTGATGGAGCAGCTTTGGTTACGGCCCAGGTCTTCCAGGACGTTGCAGTCAAATGTCAGCCTGTGCTGCAGTCATCTGAAGCTGGATGTCACTGGGGCTCGAGGGTCTGCTTGCCAGATGGAAGCTGTAGCCTTTTAATAACCTAGCCTTGGAAGTCAAATAGTCAAATAATCACCAAATTCTGGTCATTAGGAGCAAATCTCTAAGTCTGGACCACATACAAGGAGAAAGGAATTGGGAGTTTCAAAATATTTGCAGACATATTTTAAGAGTATCACGTTACATATATATATATATATATATATATATATATACAAAGATATATGTAAATACTAAATTCTTCTCAGAAACAAGATCAGAAAGCTTTGGGGACATTTTTTAAATGTTGAATGAAAATATAATCAACACTGACTTCTATATCCAGCAAAAATACCATTCAGAACTGAAAATAAAATATATTTCCAAATGAAATTAGGATAATTTTTCACCAAGAGGCCTTCACTATAAGAAATATTGACGGAAACTCCACAAGCTAAAGTAAAATGATGCCAAAGGGAAAGTCAGATAGCCAGGAAGGAATAAAGAGTATCAGAAATCATATTACATTTAAGTATACATAAATAACTTCCATTCCCCTTAAGGAGCTTTGGTAGCATAGTGCCTAAGGCACTTGACTGCTAACCAGAAGGGTGGCAGTTCAAACCCACCAGCCACTTCTCAGAAGGAAGGTTGGGCAATCTACTTCCGTAGTGATACTGCCTCAGAAACCCAAAGGGGGGTCGCTATGAGTCGGATGCGACTCGAGGGCACATAACAACAACAACATTTCTCTTAATGTTTTAAAAATATATATGACTTGTAAAATTGTAATTTGGGTGAAAGTGTACAGAGCAAATTGCTTTTTGACAATTAATACACATTTTGTTTTGTGGCATTCATTGCAGTCCCCACGAGTAATAGCACTCTTCCCTCTTTCTCCCTGTGTTCACCATTTCCCTTCACTCTTCTTTCCTATCCCCTCCTGCCTTCTGAGCTTCATCCCTGGGCCAACGCTGCCCTTTTGGTCTTACATGGTTGACCGTTCCGGTGAGTGCATACCTCCCTGGTGTTACTGTTCACCTGTAACTGGCCTGAAAGTTTGGCCATGGCGGTGAGTTCAGTTTCCGGCTTGAAGGGTGTCTACAGGCCAAAGATTGCGACCCTGCCCGTCTCTATCAGACCAGTAAGCTTGGTCTTTTTCATGATTTTGAGTTTTGTTCCACATTTTTCTCCTACCCTATCTGGGACCTTATTGCGATCCCTTTCAGAGTGGTCCACAGTGGTAGCCAGGAACCATCTAGTTCTGGCCTCAGTGACATGAAAGCTGGGGTTCATGTGGTCCATCAGTCCTTTGGACTCATTGTTTCTTGTGTCTTTTCACCCTTCTTTGCTCGGGATGGGGAGAGAGCAATAGTTGCACCTTAGATGGCTGCTCACAAGCTTTTAAGACCCCAGTCACTGCTCACCCAAGTAGGATGTAAAACGTTTTCTTTGTGGACTATGATATGCCAATTAAGCTTAGTGTCCCCCCAGACTATTGTCCTGAGCCCCCATGCCCAATGATTCATTCTCTCAAAGTGTTTGGTTATGACAAAGAAGCTTTCATAATTTTTCCCCCTGTCTGCTTTACTATATTCAAGGATATATTTGCAGCACAAATGTAGAGATCTCCTTTGTCAAACCTGTGTACATTGTGGGTGTAATCCCATTCACCTTCACACCTCTGTTTAGCATAAGAGTCTATGCATATCCACTGATAAGATTATTTTTGTTACTGTTATTGCAGGGTTATGTATGTATAGTATTTATCTTTGTTGCTTCTAATTCTTGTGCTCTTTCCTATGTCTTCCTCTGCCTTGATCATTTTGGTACACAATTTATTAATCCTCACAAAAATCTTGTGAGGAAGATAATTTTTGAGATGGGTACATGATATTCAAAGACAGTGAGAAATTGCCCAAGGTCATATAACAGACGAGGAAATAACAGAGACAGGACTTGACTCCAGATCTCTATGGCCATAAGGGTCATGCTACTTCCCCTACATCACACTAAGCAAAGTGGCATTGTTAGGTGCCATCGAGTCGGCTCCAACTCATAGCGACCCTATGTACAACAGAACAAAACACTGCCCACTCATGCACCATCCTCACAATC